TGCTGCGGAGGATGCTGCGGAGGATGCTGCGGAGGATGCTGCGGAGGATGCTGCGGAGGATGCTGCGGAGGATGCTGCGGAGGATGCTGCGGGGGATGCTGCGGATGATGCGGTGTAAGATGCTGTGGAGGATGCTGCGGAGGATGCTGTGGAAGATGCTGCGGAGGATGCTGCGGAAGATGCTGCGGGGGATGCTGCGGGGGATGCTGCAGAGGATGCTGCAGAGGATGCTGCAGATGACGCTGGGAAGGATGCTGCGGAGGATGCTACAGTAGATGCTGCGGGGGATGCTGCGGGGGATGCTGCGGAGGATGCTGCGGAGGATGCTGCGGAGGATGCTGCGGAGGATGCTGCGGAGGATGCTGCGGAGGATGCTGTGGAGGATGCTGTGGAGGATGATGCGGCGGCGATTCCCGCGGGAAGACGCGAGCGCGCGCGCCGGCAATTGAGCCGCGCGCCCGAATTACAGGCTTCTCCTGAAAGATTTGGTTACATATTAATAATGACATGTACGATCGACGCTCGCTCGCGACTCTGCTCGCGCGAGGGTGAGGGGTGGCAAGGGGCGGGGCTGGGGAGGGGGGATGGGCACGCGTGGCTCGGTGGATTATTAGAGATGGAAAGAGTTGTCACCACGAAAAGGATGTAATTGTATGTAAAGAATGACGGAGGTTTCGACACGACAATGCGACGATCATCTAGATTTTCCACGAACGTTTTAGATTTCTTGCACAATGTAATTCCAACTTAAAGAACGTCTGTTCCTAAGGGGGCAAAGAAAAGAAAGCCCGAATAGTTATCGCGTGGCCGACACAACGTAATATACATTCACGTCGAGTCACACGAGGGCGCCACCGAGAAGCCCCCAGCCTGTCGAGTGACTGCCCCACCCCCTCCCAGCGTGACAATACCACCTACCCTGACCGAGAAGGGAAGCCTTGGATGCGACTTGACTTGGCGTCTGTGGTCGCGCGCTGAGTGACATTTTTATTGCCTTTATTGCTAAGAACCCCCCCTGTAGAACAACTTAAATGATATTCCCAATTAGGCTTAGCGTAGCAGATTAGCACCGAGTAACAAGGGATTTGTCAGTGCGGTCGTCGCAGCGTCGCGCCGCGCCGATTCTGACAGCGAGTCCGAATCGTGGCGTGGCGCGCGCGTGACACGTAATCACTGAGACTTACATCCCTTAATCGCCGATTCAATTGTCAGCGGAGATTTGCGACAGCTTAAAACCCCGCTCGTCGCCGCCCGCCGGAGCGCGCTAGCGACGCGGATGAATGTAAAGGCTCGTGCTTTTTTCCCCCACGTATCGATGGAAATGATCATTGTGGGTCTAAGGACGCAAGCCGCGAGAAAAAAAAACGATGATCATTGGAGATGAACTGATGATGACCTTTTAATGGGGACATCTGATTTCCAGCACTTTCTTAATAATTACTCGTACATTACACACACGTGAACGGACACACGGGCACTAACGCATGCATGCACGCACGCACGCACACACACGCACGCACGTACGCACGCACGCACACACACACGTATAAGTAAACACACACACACACACATACATACACACACACACACACACACACACACACACACACACACACACACACACACACACACACACACACACACACACACACACACACACACACACACACACACACCACACACACACACACACACACACACACACACACACACACACACACACACACACACACACACACACACACAACACACACACACACACACACACACATAACACACACACAGCACACACACACACACACACACACACACACACAACCACACACACACACACATCACACACACACACACACACACACAACACAACACACACACACACACACCACACAACACACACACACACCACACACACACACACACACACACACACACACACACACTACACACACACACACACACACACACACACACACACACACACATATATATATATATATATTTAATGATATCCTAACAGCAATGTTGATATTTGGTAATATTGCCTAATTAAAACTGCAGCTCGACTGTAATTCCAATGTTCTGAGAACATTACAAGATTATTCCTGCACACAAAAATATTACCTTTCACTAAATAACGAATTGCTCATTCTTAGAAAACAATTAACCTACATTACAAGCATCATATAAAGGATAACGCTACCCAGACTAATACACAATTATGACTATTTTCACGAGAGAAAGAGCATAGTATTTCTCTCCTGATATAGCGTATACTGAGGCTTACCAGTGCCTACTACAGCTAGGAAGTCAAAAACACTTCGTCAGCTAGCGCTCTAGCGCTAAGGACCTGCAAGTATAATATCTTATCCACGGGCTTTACGTAGTATTTGAATCGATCCGACGCAGTGAATACTGTGTGTACACGAGCCATATTATATGGGCTGTGTACATAAAGGGAATAATATATATACAATTACAAACGTGATTACTAGCATGGCAACATGTACATCCACGCATGTAAATAATCACAGGGTGTAATATTCCTGTAATACTGTGTACGCATGTAATATTACAGGGGTGTGTAACGGAGAAGTTAAAAAGTGAAAGTCGCAAGTCTATTACATGCTTTTACTGTAATACACGGACATGTGGGTTGTACGAATACTACGGTTACTTGTAAGTATTTTTGTTTATGAGAAAATTGGGTCATATTTCAGTAAACAGAACAATTGACAATTCACCAAGTGGGAACACCACCTTGTGGTGTGTATGTGGCTGAAATGTTCATAGTAGCAAATGGACGAAGTCTGCAATTCATGGACATTGTCACACGGTATTTAGCACCAACTCAGTGAAGCAGAAATGTACCGCTAACGACAAACTAATACTCACAAGGCAGATAGTACAACCAGGGGGCGTAGCTAATTCATTCTGCCTTGTGTGTGTGGGGGGAGGGGGCGTACAAAGCCATGTGTTTTGGGCAGTTGACCGTGGGTAATTTGCCATTATGCGTAACGACCCTTAATTGCCTCCCTCGCCCACCCTACCTGTCCCCCAATAGCTACGACCTTGACAATAGTAACGAGTCCATTAGACTCAGCTCAATTTAATTTCTACCATTGCTATACATATTGAAATCATATGCATATTCATGATGCCATCACAAAGTACAAAGCCAAGGAGCAAGTAACTTATATTCCGTAATTAAAACCAAAGACCACAGAAGAATTATTATACGATCTTTGGTATAAACTTAGATATCAATGAGTTTCGATCATCCTCGTCTTAATTCAATCATTTGTATGTAAAACATTCAAATAAATGAATAAAAATACATGATTAAACTTTGATACTGTAATGTTTTGCAAGCAACATATGCAGGAGGGACTGTACATGCATTCAACCACAAGTAATGAATATCCTATAACAGGCTTGATTCTAAACCTGTGTTCACTCAGGGGCACATCCCGGAATTCTTGAAGGGTTGATGGGTCTAAAGAACAGAGGACAGCAGAGAACATAGGTGGGTGAGGGGTACACAGGTATACGTGGCCTAACCACTGGGCCACGAAGGCGCTCGTTGGCCACTGTCGGCACTTGGGCCATAATGATGGTAAATAAACATGAATTGTATTTACTACCACTACTCTCTTCCTATCACCTAATAGCTCCATATAAATGACGTTCCAATGCTCCTCTGCCACCACAAGCACGTACGCCACTCTGCACAAGCACGCAGAAACGCAAGCACAAGCACAAGCACAAGCGCAAGCACAAGCACGCAGTTCTGTCTTGCTTTAGTGTTTTAATACTTCACCCATCATCTTTCTGGGAGTTTGTGCAAAGGGGTGTACAGTACAATACATGAGGTCATGTGTACATTACGGTACGGAATTGTACGTAACAATTTGCGTTTATTTACCATCATTTTTTATTACTGAAACCAGCTTGGAAGCCTGTGGTAGAGTGTCAGCTTCATTCGCGTGTGACTCACTCCGAAGCCACAGCTCTTGCAACGCTCGTTGCTAGTAGTTAATCAAATATCACTAACCGTCATTACTAAGTAATGACAACAACAATCAATGAGTTGAAACGTTAATTACAAACAACGCACCTCACGCTCATTATGCTAATTCATAATTGCTAGTCGCCAGGAGAGAAGGATATGCCCACTGACTGAGTGACTGACTCAGTGAGTGCACCTGCAGTTGGCTGACTGACCTGACTGACCGTTGGTAAACGTGGTCATTATCCGGCCATTCGCAAATGCGTTCTCTTCGTGGTGAGAAATAGCGTCTCCCGTCTGCGCATTGAAATTTAGAACACTATCCATTAGTAAAATTAAACGTTCATACTTGCGTTTAAACATAGATATTCTATATCAGCATACAGCATACAGCATTTGCTTCCACAGAATGACAGCGTGGTGCCACCGGGTGGAGACATGAGTGTGAAACTTGCCGTAAATTAGTAATATTATTCTGCAACAGAGGGCACTACCTACACCGTAATTATGGCGTCCAATTTGAACGGCCCTGAGTAATTTAGTATTTGGGTTCGTAAAAGGAAGGATCATGTAGTATAATCGGTCTAGCTACGAGATGGCTAAAATATTCGTAAAGTTTATATAGGCGGGTAGCGAAAGTAAGATACTTCTGAAATATTATGAATGTTCATATGCTTTGTGTGACATGTCATTGTTGACATCGTCAGAGTTACAGAGTGCTGTCCTAGCAACAGGCCCAGCCGCAGGTACTAGTGACACTAGTAGTGTGGTAGGAACGGGCGATTATGTCTTGGCAACACTTAATTCACGCACCTACAGTGTGCAGTCATTTTTAGGGAAAATACGAGAATTAGAAGAGGAAGGTGCGAGAGTAAAGGGTCGCATTGGTGAGTAAGACTACATGAAAACAATGTGATTCGTGATTAGCCTGTATTATTGTATAACCAGGCTCTACTAATTACTATTACTAGTACTACTATTAGTATTAGTAATAGTATTACTAACACTAACAGTTTGCTACAGCTTATATATCAATTATAATATATCAAATATCTATGTATTGAGGTGTTACAAGTACTACAAGTACAACTAGCGACAAGTGGACAACTCTTTGAACACAAAATATGGAATTATTTTCAACGATCAGAACTTTTTTAGTCTCATTGTAGGTCATAGTCATACATATTTTTAGGTACCATCAGTCACTCAGTTTGAGCCAGAACCCTGCTCACTAATGATTGATACAGTAATAAGTACCCTGTACTGTATCAGCCATCAAAGCGTAAAACACATCCAAATGACAATCCAACAGCAATCCAACAGCAATCCAAACGACATCCAAACATAGTTATTGTTCTAAGATACAAGCCTCTATTCCTCACCCCAATTGCAGCAGGGATCCTATCTGTGAAAATCAGTAGCACTTTTAAAAGCCCTTTTTTAAATAGTAATTGACTGCATGTGTTGATCTGCACATTTTATCAACATATTTAAGGTTCTTCCAGTATTCATAGTTCACCATCTTCTTCATAGTCTACTCGCCTCTAAAGTGTATTAATATTATTGCAAGACATCTCGAATATTGTCACACAATCTGTTAAAACTAACAGCATGGAACGAATGTTTTAATTTCATGATGCGGATTTACAAGCCAACCTCATACAAACTTGTTAAACCGTATCATGCTTGGATGGATGCAGCAACTTATCCATCACCCCTCCATTGCTGAATGCAGGGGGCCCCATGAGTTATGCAACGTTTATCGTAACGCTTTCACGACACCTGTCAAAATTTAGGTGGTGCATAGACGTGGCACCAGATGGCGCTGTTACTGGTAAATACCAGGTCTATACTTTATTTCCCAGCCAAAAACAGATCAATATATCCAAGCAGAGGTGGCATGCACATTATACAAGCTGCACTATCTCTGCCACAGGCATCTTTGCGCATTATCGCATGATAGAAAGAAGCTTGTAATAGGGTGTTTACACCATGACTAAGATGCATGCAAAATTTCCCTTTTCAATATAGTAACTAAAGACAATGAAAACAGATACGTTACGAGGGTTATTGCTGGCAGTCACCGGCTTTGACAAATGTGATAAATAAACAACAGCGGTGATCATACCAGACAGCCTTGCGAATGCAGCAGGTGAATAATTTGGCTGCACTCAGTATCGAAAGTGAATAACGAACTATCGTCAAATTACAGCTGCATATATTATAAGCGCTAGCAAATTCTGTTACTCGCTCCCTCTGTCTTAGCGACGTACATGCATTTTTAATGTATGTGAACCGGTCGTGAGAATGTGCCGTACAGATTCACACGTATGATACGGTGGTTAGTGGCTGTAGAACTTTTTTTCGCTAGCAGCTATAAAATAAATACAACTGGAGCAAGTTTTGATTCACTCAGCAAGACCTCGTTGAAACGCACTCGACGATATTCCTAAATAGCTATCATAAATTCATATTGAAATTATAAATTAATGGCCTCATTACATATTAACGAACATTTACCTTAGTAAAAAATGTATGATGGCGGTACACGTGCCGCTGGTTTATGAAACTGACAGTAGGCGAGGAGAAATTTTCCCCGTGATGTATCAGCACTGCAGCTGTCTCAGTGTCTGCAGCAGAGATGTTTCACTTCCAGTGGCATTACCGTGTTGGCTTGAAGATTGGAATCGAGGCCGGACGCTTGCACTCGAATTCTTTGTGTCACTCCCACGGGCCATTCAGAGTTTGCAGTGAAAGCTCAGAAGCAGCCTCTAAACTTCTTGTTATACAGGAATGACTAGTAGCGATCGATAAATGACGTGATTAGGACCATGCATAACGTGCGAAACAGTGCCTATGTTTTGTTGAATTTCGTTGTTAAGTATTTGCAGATGCATTGAGGACGACATCCAACGACTGTCAATTATAATTAGTGATTAGTTTACGTAGTTATTCCATTAGCAACATTACTTAGTCTAATACTTAATATAGAATTCGTTAAGTACTACAGCTCTGTGATAATTAGTCTTAATGTGTTATTTTTCTCCTTCAGATTCTGAGCTGGAGAACTATGGCACTTTCTCCCTGACGTCCAGTTTTGAGTCCTCTCCTCGTAGTACCGAAGCAGCAGGTCGTACAGGAATGGCCGACACGCAAAATCCAGACGATGCCAAACTAGCAGAGTTCGGGTAAACCTCATAGATGCATCGTTCAGTCGTGGTAGTAAAATAATTGCGCATGAACTAATCATGCCATTGTTGTCGATAGGTTAATAGTGAAACCCTATTCTGACGTCTGGTACGTTAAGCTCGTTATGAGAATAGCACGCGCAGAATGCTTAATTAAAAGTGCGTCGAAACAGTGCAAGCCATTTCCTACCGTACAAATAACATAATGCAATATAATCAGAAGTGTTATAATGCAGATATGATATATATGATATATAATATATTTATGATATATATTATCTATCTATATATATATATAGATAGATGATAGTCTATATTATGACACTCCTGGTGTAATTAATGCCCCACTCATGCAGGAATCATGCAAGTGAGAACATTTATATCTCCTGTGTGATAGTAGTAAAGATGATGTTTTCCGTGTGCAAGGCCATCCTTAAAAAATTCTGTTTGCTGTCCCCCGACCCATGATTTTTTTTTTGTGTGTGTGTGTGTGTGTTTTTTTTGTGTGAGGCATAATAGTTATTTTAAGTCTGTCCTCATGTTTGCCACACATGCTTTGTGTTTCAGTCTTAACTATGAAATATAAATATGGAACCCAAAATGTAAAAAAAAACTTTGGGGTCGCGGCTATTTTCGTGGGTCGGTCGGAGGACAGCAAACATATAATTTTTTAAGGATGACCCAATACTAACAGCTGATTACAATCTGACAGGGAGGAGGACCACCCGACATTATCACCAGGCGACGACTACTCGCATCTCTTACAAGATTCAGGAATGTCTGTATTCAGCAGCGTTCCAACAGCGCCCTCTACCCCTACCAGCCTCGTCGGAACCGGCAACCATCAGTACGTATGTGATTATTGGCTCTGTGCCAAAAATAAGTCTCACTCATCATGTTTTGTATTTGGCCAAAATATTTCACTGCGTTTAAGCATTATTATTCCTCGTTTTGAGATAAATGCAAAACGTTCTGACAGTACCAACTAGCAAAATCAGTGTGCAGCGATTTTTGTGTGATCTTTGTCTCGTATTTTGATTAAAAATACGTTTTAAAAACTCGAAAAACTCAAAAACTCGAAAAATTCGAGAGTGAAAAAGAATCCGAACTGCATCGGCGACTGTCGCGCGCTGACGTTTCATCTTTCGCTCAATTCACTGCGTGTCTGCATCCCCCCCCCCCGCACATCCCTCCAGGGCCGCCGCGCCCTGACGTTTCCTCCGCACGCACCCCAGGCAACCTCCGTTCCTCTGAACGTTTTCTCCGTTCGCTCCCAGGGCCGCCGCACGCTCCCTCGTCGACTCTCAGGCGGAGATCTCGCGATTGAAGGGCAAGATTCGCGAGGCGAACGCCATCTGTGAGAAGCAGCGGCGGCACTACCGGCGCGGCATCGAGACGATGCAGAACACGTTGGAGAAGACCGTCGTCGGACGCGAGTCCATCTATAACATGCGGTAAGAGCGACGACACATCGGCGATTTATCGGAGATTTATCGGACATAATCGCAATGTTGGTCTCTATCTCTCTCTCTCTCGCTCTCTCTCTCTCTCTCGCTCTCT